AACGCCGCTGCTGGTTACGAATGACCTGCTTAAGTCATCATAGACCCTTACAGCACCAGAGGTATGCGAGTACAGTGACCTCAGTAAGTTAACGTACTTTTGGGGCATTCCTTTTCGAAGAAGGGATCCCATCAGAGCTTCGCGGTCAACTGAGTCAAAGGCTCCTTTCAGGTCAAGGAACAATGCGATCGATGGTCGGCGGTGGTTGTGACGCAGCTCAGGGATCTGACGCAACGTAAGAAATTGATCAGTACATCCACGGCCAGGCCGGAATCTGGTGTGCTATTCGCGGATGTTGATCTCTCTTAAAGGAGTCGGACGTCGAAGAAAGACTTTGGTGACGATCGGGATCAAACTTATTCGGCGGTGGTTTTCGCAGTCGTTGCGAGATCCCTTCTTGAAAATGAGAACGATCAGTGATTTGCCCAAAGATGAGGGAATGCGCTCTTGCATCCAAATGTTGCGCAGTAAGGTAGTACTAGAGCTTACGAGGTTATCACCCCCCATATTGAAAGGAGTGGGAGGGAGCTCATCAGGTCCTGCTGCGTTTCCTCACTTCAGAGCCTGAATGCAAGACTGAACTTCTGCTTCCGTTGGAGGATCGCAAGACACTGACCACGGAGCTTCAGTTACAGATGAGGCAACCTGGTTAGCGGTAGGTCAGCAGAACTGATCTCTGAAGTGTTCCACCCAGCGATCAATTTCTTCATCCGTATCGTGAATAGCTTGTCCCTTCTTACCACAAACTGTTTCACTAACTACAGTTAGCCGACCTCCCGTATTGTTTATCAGTCGGAATAGTCTTTGACTATTCCCTGACGCAGTTGCTACTTCCATTTCACCCGTAAGTACAACTATGTCGGAGCTTCGACTCAGCCGCATGAGATCGATGAGTTCATCGCAGAAGGCGTCCTTTTGAGTATCAGAACTGCGATGGGTCGGTGCGTATACCCATACGATGAACAAATACCTTTTGGTGCTGCTACCCTTCCGGACGATGAGTGAACACTGGAGACGCACTGCACATAAACGATTGTTGATAGGGATCCACTCGGTAAGAGAGGACTCTATCCTCTTACTAAGTGCAATACCTACCCCGCGCTGACCTACTGAACGAGCTTCAGCGTCGCCTGATGTGCGAAGGACGTATCTCGGAGACAAATCTGGCGTGCTCAAGTGGCTTACAGTAGTAGGATCCTGGACTCGAGTTTCCGACACACAGCAAATGTCGATTCCTAAGGATTCCATTGTACGAGCTAGACAAGCTTGTTGACCTACGTGTATCAGAGTCCTTACGTTGAAAGCCCCCAAATTCAGTGATTAACAAAGGCTTCAGAATCTGCAATTCACTTCGTAACACAATACTTACAGCGTTATTTGGCAACGACCTTTGGCGAGCGACATCCAAGTTGGTTGAGGGACCATTACAGGTTGGAAGGAGGGGAAATGGAGAGGGCTGGGTACTGAAGACAAAGAGTTAAACAAAGGTTGGGATATCTGAGCAGTAGCCCACTAATCGCTACCCACCTCGCTCGATGCAATGGGCAGCGCGGTCTTGATTATCCTGTGCGACGACCGATACAATATGAAATTATTTTTTGGTTGTGTATGCATTTGAGTTTGATGGGCGGGTACTGCCAGAGTGTCCAGCCACTAAGCAGGAGAGCGATTAGGGTTCTCCTTCAAAGTCTTTAGTTCTAACAAGGCAGCGGGTGAAGCGAAGTAGAGGCCCATTTACTTGGATCGATTACTCCACCATCATTTTTTTGCCGACTGAAACGCAAATTCAAGTTGAACCTCCAACCTGGAGGACCAGGAGACTGGACTTCGTCCGACCTCTACTCTTCGACTTTCCAGGCATGATTAGATGTTCGGCTTGACAAAAGCCATCCTGTGTAGCTCGTTTAGGTCAGGGAGGTGCACAAGCCATCGCACCACTTCAAGATGCAGTCTCGTCGTGATGGCATGTCAACATGCATGCCTGAGAATCGTGACTGATTTCTCCGTCTATCTTGACGTGACTCGCTCCATCGCCTTGTCGATGAAAGTCAATTACCGCGGTCTACAGCTCACACGACATAACGTTGTCGGTGAGGGGACGAACAGTCCGACCCTACCACGGCCCTCCGAAACCGTCATTCCGGTTCGGTGACTCAGTTCATTCTGATTGGGGTTTTGATAGATGCGGTCTAGTAGGTAACATGTGACGGCTGAGGCACCAGTCGCTCTGTGAGGTTTTCATCAGAATGCGATTGACTTGAAGCGAATTTGAAATTTAGGTGTATATCCATTCTATCAGAGTCTCATACGGCTCGCTATTCGAATTCACCGGTAACCATAAGCGAACAAGAGGTTAGCGATGCTACGTGATCCACCCCTAGGATATTTATCCCAATACAGTGTACGTAATGTAACTACCGCTTGTTTTCAAACGGCATAATGACTGGTTTGACTGAGCGACACACGAAAAAGCCTGATTCACTGTCCGGTGTTAGGAATTTTAGCAGCAGGTATCCACCAAAGCGATCACCCGGAAGGTGTACGTTTGTTGTATGAATGAGAATAGTAACCATTATCATCATCGTACAGTGAGATACAGAGCAGTGGACTTCGCTGATCGTTGCCAAACTCTCGGTGAGAACCGCAAGGAGTAGCCATATAGTTAGGGTAACAGCATGAAAAAATTGGACCTGATCGATTCACTCACCGGACAAGTTTGATTCGCCGTTTATTTGGCAATCGCTTTGGAGTTGCGAAATTTAACCAAACTGTGGTCACCAGTAGACGCGTCAGAAAACCATTTGGATGTAAATCTGTTGAAGTGTCTGATTGTTGGAAACCGAGATGCCCGGTGTTGTCTTTCTTATTTGGATCAGTGCCGGAAAACCGTTGACTTGGCAAAGGTAAGTCGCCTAAACTAGTTGATGTATCCTAAAAGAGTGCAGATTAAAATGAGTTCAAATAGCAATAACGCCGAGTGGAACGCATTCAATTACCGTAGTCCCGAGCCAAATCAGATATACAAAAGTGTGGACATAGAGTCAAAGAAAATATCACAAGGATAGCTAGGTATGTTGAATAAACATCGGAGTTTGATTTTCCTGGCGAATTCTGTATAGAAACGAATTAATGTTATGTTATCAGTGCAGAAACGTGAATTGTCAGCGAAATCCTATGCACTACAGCAGATTGCAGTGGTCACGAGGATCAGTAGTAATGTCAAAGCCACAGAGATTGACCAAAGCACGTACAATCGTGCCAGTCGTCTATCTGTGAAGAATTTAACCTTTTGACCTTTGTGTGCACAGCCGGTTTCTCAACCTGTTACTTCTAACTCCTCGATCCTTCTCTCACACATACTTAAACGAAAGTAGAGAACTTAATGGCTGCCATATTTTCTCTCAAACATGGTATATAAACGAATCATAAATATCATGTGAGTAATGGAGGATTTGATTTAATTT